TTCTTTCTTTCTTTTTCTCTTCTCAAAACCCTTTGATCTTTTAAATTTCAATAGTAAAACATTAAAACAAAATATAATTGATATATATATATATATAACATATAATAAAATGTATTAACACATACATTAATAAGATACAACAATATAAATGATATTATAAAAGGCGTCCACCTTGTCATTTTTGTCGCCTAGGCGGGCGCTTAATCGCCTAGAAGGGCGCCTAGTTGCTAAAAGTCAAGGCGTTTAGGTGAGGTGCCCAACCAAGGGCGCCTAGTCCTTGACAACTATGATTCTGTCATCCAGTCTGCTTGTATCGATGCTGTCTCCGCAATGGCCTCACATATCACTAAGCTTCCCTTCTCCGCATGTTTCTTACTCGAATCTTTGTTAAAGATATTTGTACAGACTGCAGAGGAGCAAAGCTTCCCAACTTGTCCACTACAGTAAGAGCCTTCGCCCTCTGTGATGATTAGGTGCACAGAGTGCCACCGGCAGCCAAGTGTGTAGAGTAGTAGAGCTTCCGAACTCGGCCACCACAGCAAGAGCCCTCGCCCTCAGGGGTTGTACCAGCGGATGGCCTTCTCCATCCACGTTGAATTGGTTGTAGAGCAGAGTAGCAGATGGCCTTCTTCGCCCTGTTCGACTATAGATTATAATATTTCATTTAAAAAATCTATTTTGATATTTAAATAAAATATTCAAACATTGCCAAGAAGAATTCAACCTTCCACCTGCATTCAATGTTATGGACACACCACCGGGCAGCACACTTCGGTGCAGGCATAAGCAGCAGCACGCACAACGGGCCGCCCAGCAGCACGCACCGCCAAGAGCGCCGCACAGCAACCCGACAACGCTCCGCTCGGTAGCGCGCACAGCAGCATGCACCGCCAGCAGCGCACAGCAGCACGCACCATGAGCCGCGCGCACGCACTGCGCGGCGGCGGCACCATGAGCCGCGCGCACACACCCGGCAGCAGCAGTAGAGCGGGGCCCACACGACAGCTCATAGGGGTGGGCCCACCCTTATCTGGACATGTCAAAAGAACTCGCCGCCAGCCTTATCCTCATCCCTTATCCTCATCTCTTATCTTATCTTTATCTTATCTTAAGAGTGTGTTACCAATTACAGTAGGTAATTAGGAGTTTGAGTTTAATTAGGAATTTTCTTCTATAATCTCCTATTTAAGGAGCTACGAATTGAAATAAAAGACATTCAGTTTTCGCAGTCAAGAAAGAGAGTAAGGAGAGTTCGGGTGATCTCTTGGACAAATCACCCACGAGATAGTCAAAATAGGGCCTGTACGCAAGGCCAAGGGCAAGGAAAGATCTGAGGTTCCTACGGTGGAGCGACCCGTGACGCGATCCTACGCTCGGGCTCATAACATTTTGGTATCAGAGCCAAGCGTCATGGGCGACATGGAGCAGCTATCGTCCAAGGTTCACAAGCTGGAACACCGTCTCGCGGAAAATCATGCGGAGGTAAGAGAAGTTAAAGAGGACGTCAGGGAACTTCGGCGTCTATTGGAGTTATACTTCTCCACCAGGGAAGGGAGCCCTGAAGGGGCAGCCACTAACCACAGCCGCCGCCCAGATCGGACAAAGGGCTCCGGTGAGCGACAGAACGACACACTGACAGCAACAATCATACCCAAATACAGTCGTTTGGAGTTCCCCTCGTACAGCGGTAGCGGCAACCCACTCGGCTGGCTGTACCGCTATGAGCAATTCTTCCGCAATCAGCGCACGGAAGAGAAGGACAAGATCAGCCTAGCAGAATTCCACTTGACCGATGAAGCACAGCTCTGGTTCTACCGAGTGGAGCAGGAAGAACCAGGCCTTAGTTGGGGCCAGTTCAAGTCGTATTGCCTCCTCCGATTCGGGCCCCCATTAACGAGCAACCCTTTGGGGGAGCTCATTAACCTCAAGCAGACCGGGACCGTCGCGGAGTATCAACGGCAGTTCCAGACCCTTCTCGCCAGGGCCTCGTCAGTATGCCCAGACCAGTAGGTGGATATGTTCACAACTGGTCTAGCCGAACCCCTGAGAGTGGATGTAGAGATGCAGAGCCCGTCTAACCTGGTCACGGCAATGAATTTGGCCCGGGCCTTCGAGCGCAAACTACAGATTAGCCGAGGGCCGTTCAGCATGGGATGCCCAGCAGCAGCTTGGACAAACCCGAAGCCTACAGAAGGAGGGTCTTCGCTGGCAGCCAACAGGGAACCCCTCGGAATGGCCCCATATCCAGCAGCCAGCCCAGAACGGAAGACACAGACGAGCACCAATTCCAGATCAGCATCTAGTGTGCGGAGTAGCGGCGGTACACCCCCTATTAAGCACTTGTCTAGGGCGGAGATGGCAGAACGCTGGGCAAGGGGGCAATGTTTTAATTGCGATGAACTCTACTCAACAGGGCACAGGTGCAAGAGACTTTTCTGCCTCCTGGTGAAACAAGAGGAAGAGGAGGATGAACCCCCTCCATGGGAACCCAA